AGGAGGATCAACTGAGCCTAGACGGTTTAGGCCACAGTGAGCCAAGACTGAGCCACTGCACTCTAGCCTGGGTGGCAGAGCCAGACCCTGTCTCAATAAGAAAAAAGAAGAAGAAGAAAGAAAGAGAGGAAAGAGAAAGAAAGGAAGAAAGAAGAAAGAAAGAAAGAAAGAAAGAAAGAAAGAAAGAAAGAAAGAAAGAAAGAAAGAAAGAAAGAAAGAGAAAAGAGAAAGAATTAAAGAAAGAAGGGAGGGAGAGAAGAGAAGGGAAGAGGACCAGGGCCTACTTGAGGGTGGAGGCCGGGAGGAGGGTGAGGATCAAAAAACTACCTATTGAGTACTATGCTCATTATGTGGGTGACAAGATAAGCTGTACAATTTATGTGACAAACCTGCACATGTACTCCCTGAGCCTAAAATACAAATTGGAAGGAAAGGGAAAAAAAAGAGGCTGGATACGGTGGCTTATACCTGTAATCCCAGCACTTTGGGAGGCCAAGGTTCACAGATCACTTGACATCAGGAGTTCGAGATCAGCCTGACCAATATAGTGAAACCCCATCTCAACATAAAAAAATACAAAAATTAGATGGGCGCAATAGCACGCACCTCTAGTCCCAGCTACTCAGGTGATTTAGGCACAAGAACCACGTGAATCTAGGAGGCAGAGGTCGCAGTGAGCCAAAATACTGCCAATTCCCTCTAACCTGAGTGACAGAGTGACACTCTGTCACAAAAAAAAAAAAAAAAAAGAAAGTGGGAAAGACTGAAAAGTTGTAGGGGAAAAGAGTTAATCTCTTAGAAACAAGCCTAAACACTTCGATGGAGCTGAAATTTGAAGTTTAGAAAATAAGGCAAAATATCTATATGTGTAATATATACAAAGAAAAAATAAGAAGCAGCAAACATTCAATTAGAGCAACCATTTTCATTCCAGAAAGGTAGCAGAAATAAGCACTTAGCAAATTTAAAGTATTTTGACTGGTAGAATGACAATTACAGAAACATAGCAATATTTATAATATTGATCAGTGGCCTTCAAACATTTTTGTCAGGGGAATAAAATTCAAAAGGTACTAGTGTGTTAGTATTGTTTTATTTATAAATTTCATATTCTTGCATCTATGTAATTTTTAGAAACAGGAAATGTAAAAACAAAATTTTAAAGAAAATATTTTAATAATTTAAAATATTTTATTTATCAACCATATAAAAAGCTTTATATGTAATATTAATATTCTATGAGATTAATGTGATCGAATAATTTTAGTTATTTTTTTCAAATCTTGGCTTAGCATGTGATTTGAAGGTCATATTTTGATACTTGATTTTAATGACTGTCATAAGTAAAAAACATACCTCACCAGCATAAGTAGGTACAAATGAGGAACTTGATATATTGGTACATATTTTTTAATCCTATCCACCACATTAAGGAAAAGGTGTATTGAAATCTGACTGGCAAATATCAGTCTTCACTAATTTTTTTATTACCCCCCAAGTCTTCACTAATGTTGATGGACTGCTATTAAAAATTAATCAGAAGTTGTTGTACTTTATACTTTAAAAAATATATATGAAGTGTCACACTGTCACCTGGGCTGGAGTGCAGTGGCACAATCTCGACTCACTGCAACCTCTGCCTCCTGGGTTCAAACGATTCTCCTGCCTCAGCCTCCGGAGTAGGTGAAATTACCGGTGCATACCACCCCACTCGGCTAATTTTTTTGTACTTTTAGTAGAGACAGAATTTCACTATGTTGGCCAGACTGGTCTCGAACTCCTGACCTCGTGATCCACCCACCTCAGCTACTCCCAAAGTGCTGAGGTTATAGGTGTGAGCCCAGCCATACTTTATACTTTTTTTTTTTATTGGATTTTAGGTTTTGGGGTACATGAGCAGAGCATGCAAGACAGTTGCGTAGGTACACACATGGCAGTGTGCTTTGCTTTTCTTCTCCCCTTCACCCACATTTGGCATTTCTCCCCAGGCTATCCCTCCCCACCTCCCCCTCCCACTGGCCCTCCCCTTTTCCCCCCAATAGACCCCAGTGTTTAGTACTCCCCTTTCTGTGTCCATGTGTTCTCATTTTTCATCACCCACCTATGAGTGAGAATATGCGGTGTTTCATTTTCTGTTCTTGTGTCAGTTTGCTGAGGATGACGTTCTCCAGATTCATCCATGTCCCTACAAACGACACGAACTCATCATTTCTGATTGCTGCATAATATTCCATGGTGTATATGTGCCACATTTTTCCAATCCAGTCTATTATCAATGGGCATTTGGGTTGATTCCAGGTCTTTGCTGTTGTAAACAGTGCTGCAATGAACATTAGTGTGCATGTGTCCTTATAGTAGAACGATTTATAGTCTGCCCAAAGTAATTTACAGAACCAACGCTATCCCCATCAAGCTACCATTGACTTTCTTCACAGAACTGGAAAAAACCACCATGAACTTCATATGGAACCAAAAGAGAGCCCGCATAGCCAAGTCAATTCTAAGCAAAAAGAACACAGCGGGGGGCATCACACTACTGGATTTCAAACTATTCTACAAGGCTACAGTAATCAAAACAGCATGGTACTGGTACCAAAACAGAGATATAGACCAATGGAACAAAACAGAGACACCGGAGGCAACACAACATATCTACAACTATACAATCTTTGATAAACCTGTCAAAAACCAGCAATGGGGAAAGGATTCCCTGTTTAACAAATGGTGTTGGGAAAACTGGCTAGCCATGTGCAGAAAGCAGAAACTGGACCCCTTCCTGACACCTTACACATACTTTATACTTTTAACAATTGTCTTTAAAACCCACTGAACTTTTTCATTTGGCAAATTGGGGGCAGAATAGAAAATTCTTTTTCTGTATTTTTAACGAATGCAGGTACAAGGTCTAAATTTAATAAATATTATTTTTAGCTGAAAGGAAGGAAGGAGTAAAGGAAGGGAGGAAGGGAGGAAGAGTGGGAGGGAGGCGAGGGAAGGAGGGGAGAGGGGCGGGCATTCCAAGAATTGGAAATAATCTCAAAGATCTGTTTTCAACATGCTCTCACTGCAACATAACTTTCTTTTGAAAATCATTTATTCTTTCATTCATTATTAAAATGTCATCTTTACTTAGAAGGGACGTATTAAGTTGTTCTTAATCTTCAAGAACATAGCTTACACCTGACAGCTGCTTACCAGGAAAGTTCCGAAATTTTGGAATTGCTGTCAAATCTGCACCTTCAGATCTGACAAATTCTGAGAGCTTTGCCTTGAATAAAGTTCTACTTGAAATATATGTGTCCTATCTACTTCCCATTTCATAAAAAGTGCAAGGATTCTACTTAGATGTCAGTTATATACTATCCTACCTATGTATATGTGTGCGTATATTTATACACATGCGTATTTATATACACACACCCATGACCTCCTTATAGCACATGAGCTACATGGTGTAACAAGTCATTGGCAGTGAACACGAGTCAGTCTCTCAAACTGTCAAATGCCCTCTCCCCTCACAGGGCCATATGCAGATATGATCATCTGACAGAGAGACCAAGTGAAACTGCCAGTGTTAATCTACATATTTTAAATTAATTGGCCAGTGCAGTGGCTCACGCCTGCAATCCCACCGAGCACTTTGAGAGGCCAACGCAGGTGGCTCACTTGAGCCCAGGAGTTCAAATCCAACCTGAACAACATGGCGAGACACTGTCTCAACAAAAAATACAAAAGTTGGCCGGGCGCGGTGGCTCAAGCCTGTAATCCCAGCACTTTGGGAAGTCGAGACGGGTGGATCACAAGGTCGAGAGATCGAGACCATCCTAGTCAACATGGTGAAACCCCGTCTCTACTAAAAATACAAAAAATTAGCTGGGCATGGTGGCGCATGCCTGTAATCCCAGCTACTCGGGAGGCTGAGGCAGGAGAATTGCCTGAACCCAGGAGGCGGAGGTTGCGGTGAGCCGAGATCACGCCATTGCACTCCAGCCTGGGTACCAAGAGCGAAACTCCGTCTCAAAAAAAAAAAAAAAAAAATACAAAAGTTATCTGGGTGAGGTGGCGCACACCTGTAGTCCCAGCTACTCAGGAGGTTGAGGCTGCAGTGAGCCAGGAACATATCCCTGCACTCCGGCCTGGGCAACAGAGCAAGATCCTGTTTCAAAAACAAATAAATAACTAAGAAAAAGAAAGAAAAATAATTTAATTAAATTAATCAAGTTCAATTTGTTTTATAATTTTAGTTTAGAATAAATTGAAATAAAATTCCAACTCTCCTGGAAGCCCACTGCAGAGGGACCAAGATCCAGTAAGGCACAGGAATGTCTGCTCTGGGAACCTGGGCTCAATCCCACCTGGATCATTTATTGCTGTGCAGCCCTGAGTAAGTCCTTTAAGCATTCTGTGCCTTGGTTTGCCCATCTACAAAGGGAGATAATAAACATTATTATGAAAAAATCTATTCAGGAGGTGGGTGTGACAATTAAATGAACGAATCCACGTAAAGCTCTTAGATTTTTTAGCATACGGTGGAGATTTAAAAACATTAGCTGTTATGTTATCACATGAAATAATTACATCCCTCTACAAACTGGAAGTACCTGGAGGCTAAGAAACCAGTTAGGGGACCGTTTCTGTTATCCAAACAAAAGAGGATTGTGGCCCAAACCAAGGAAGTGGCAGTGGGGTTGGACAGGAGAAGGATCTGAGAAGCATTGGAGACACGGAGTCAGCGGACTTTGAAACTGTTATAACAGCAAGAGAAGGAAGAAAGCGGTCAAGTGTGACTTCGAAGTTTCTAGTGCATGTGATCAAGCAGTGTTAGCTGAGAAAAGGAAATAAGGCAAGGCCTCAATTTGGTGGAGAGGAATAGCTTACTGAGCGCTTACTATGTGCCAGCAAATATTCTACGTGTTTTTCATGCACGAAGTCATTTAATCCTCAACAATCCTGTGACATAGAGGCTATTTCCGTTTTATAGATGACAAGACTAAGCCACAGAAGGTCTGTAACTTTTCCAAGGCTACACAGCTGGGCTTCAAACCCAGGGTATCCGACTGCCCCACACGTAGCCTTTCTTACAGATAATGAGTTCAGTTTAGTTTGAAGGACATGAAAGAGGACATGCGGAGGAGCGAGTTGAATGTAACAGTCTGAACCTCCTAGGAGACGTGGGAGATGGCAACCAAGCTTGAGACGCCAGATGTATCGGCAGAGAGGTGGGATGGCAGCAACGAACATGGACATGGGAAGGAAGAGAGAGTATGCATGTGAGAAGAAGCCTGGGAGACACCCCTGGGGACTTGGATGCCGCCAGCTTGCCCACCAGGGTGTAAGTGCTAGCTGTTTTTCATTGTGGACGTTTGCCTATCATAATGGCTTTATGTGGGGGGTCTTGGACTGCTCAGCGTCTGAATCCCCTTGCCATATTGGAGAATCTGCCTTGGTCTTGGTGGGACTCACACCTTCCGTTATAGTAGTCGGAGAGCTAGATATTAGCTGTTCCTCAGCCCTGGAGGCCAACCCTGAACAAAAGGTGTGTCTGGCCAATCTAACAGGACACTGAGTCCACAGCAAGTGACACAGCAGCAAAGGATGGTGCCATGTGTGTTCCACCTACAGCAATGCCTGCAGCTTCCTGGGGTGCCAAGGGTGGCCAAGGGCTCATTTTCTGGCAGCAGAGTCCCCTCAACCTAGGGCACCACCTTGGCTCCAGTTTCCCTTGGCTTCCCCTCATTTTCTCACCCTTGTTCTCTAGTCTTTCCATCTGCTCTGTAACTGCTTGGCAGCGTCCCCCGATCTCTTTTTCTAGATCCTCTTGTTTAACCTGCTCTCTCACTGGTCCAGTACCAACGCACCATTCCTTAGATAATTCTATTTTCCTTGCACTTCTTTCTCTCCTTTGTAATAAATTACAGAAGTGGTTGCGTATTTTCACCTAAAAACATCCCTAAGAAACAATCACCTCTGAGATTTAATTGTAGGACAAAATACTTCCATAAAGAATGATCACCCTCAGCCAGAACAGTGATCCAAATGTACGAATGGAATAGCGATGAATTCTTTCACCACACCCGGAGCATAACAAATGTCTTATTCCACTTTCTTAATTAAGTTCAATCCCAGTTCCAGCTCCACTTGCCAAGGTTGGTTAGGATGGCTAATATTAGGCCAGGCGTGGTGGCTTACACCTCTAATTCCAGTACTTTGGGAGGCCAAGGCGGGTAGATTGCTTGAGGTCAGGAGTTCAAGACCAGCCTAACTAACATGGTGAAACCCCATCTCAACTAAAAATACAAAAATTAGCCGGGCATGGTGGCAGGCACCTGTAGTTCCAGCTACTCAGGAGGCTGAGGCAGGAGAATCACTTGAGCCCAGGAAGCAGAGGTTGCAGTGAGCCGTCATCATGCCACTGCACTCCAGCCTGGGTGACAGAGTGAGACTTGTCTCAAAAAAAAAAAAAAAAAAAAGGCCGGCGCAGTGGCTCATGCCTGTAATCCCAGCACTTTGGGAGGCCGAGGTAGGCGGATCACAAAGTCGGGAGTTCGAGACCAGCCTGCAACATGGTGAAACCCTGTCTCTACTCAAAATACAAAAATTAGCCAGGCGTGGTGGGTGCCTGTAATCTCAGCCACTCGGGAAGCTGAGGCAGGAGAATCGTTTGAACCTGGGAAGCAGAGGTTGCAGTGAGCTGAGATCACTCCATTGCACTCTAGCCTGGGCAACAGGGCAAGACTCTGTCAAAAAAAAAAAAAAAAAAGAATAAGAAGAATGGCTAATATTAGACAACATTCATGATCTACCATCCTGGAACAGGTGGGACCCCCAGGGCTTACTCACATCAGAGAAATGGGGAAGAGTTCTGAATGGTCTTCTGCTCTGAATGGTCACAATTTCTTTGCTGCCCAAAGCCACTGCGAAGAGCAGATTCTCCCTTCTGGCATATCCTGCCACCCTGGCAGCCCCTCACAACTGTTCTCCCACCAACCACAGGTGCAGCCATGTAGCCTTTGCCAGCATCCCCAAGGCCACAGGGCCTGGTGGCCAACCTCCCTTTCCCATCCATGCCAGGTCCTTGGAAGTGCTGGTCAAGAGGTGCCCTGCCGCAACCTGTGGGTCCCAGGGTTCCTCATGCACAGATGGCATCTGCAGCCTCCTGGCCCTCAGGATGCCCTTCCACACACACAGCCAACACCTAGGTGAGGAATCCAGCTTCTTTCCCCTTCAGGTCCCAGGAGAGCAGAGAACACGACAATGCCTCAAAAGAAAGCCCCTAGCTTTTCCTTATGGAGAAAGTAGAAATTACCTTTCTTGTGCCAGTATGCCTCCTAGGGAAGCAGATGAACAAATATAAAATAAAAACCTTTGTTCCAGAGCCAGCATATTTAGAAACAGCCCTAAAAACACAATTTATTTTTAAAAAGAATTACTTTTGAAGGAAAAATTATGGTAATAGATTTTCTGCCTGCAAGTTAAAAAAAAGCTAATTCATCCTAGTGTCAGCCCAAAGTGGGTACTTTTTTTAAAGAGAATGGGTATGTCAATGGTCAATGCAGAAATGGGGCTAGGCCTCTGAAAAGGTTGGAACCCCAACCTGGAAGTCTCCCAAAACCTTTTGTAGTATCTGTGTCTTGCCTATGCTTTGCTCTGCACACCTGCTTTATTTTGCTCTCTGCAGACCGCTTGAGCTCCCCAGAGTATATGGCAGAAGGTGTTCATAGCTCCAATGCGCAGACTCCACCCCCTACCTCCACCTCCCTCGGGAAAGATTCATTCAGCCTATCTCTCTTTCCCCTTTTCTTTCTTTTCTCTCTTGCTCTTTCTCATTCTCTCTCTCTCGCACATACACATACACACACACATGCACACACACACTCACACACACACACTTTTTCTTCTCTATTCCCTTTTTTCTCTCTTCTCTCTCTCTCCTATCTCTTTCTCTCTCTCTTCCCCCTCCCTGCCCTCCACCATCCCTGCTAATTTCCAGGTTCCAGGAAGGGACTCTGATTGGTCCAGCTGGACTCAGCTCTCTCTCTCTCTCTGGCCCAATCAACCGGCAGAAGGACAGGCTCATGTTACACAAGTTTGGCTGTCAGAAGCCCAGCCTCCTCACTTGACAGGCTGCTGAGAGGGACGGCAAAGCTAACAACAGCATCTTGTTTGGATCTCCTTAAAAGCAGACCCTGAAGCAAGAACTCAAGTGCAAGTGGGGCATTTGGGAGGTGCCAGCAATACCAGCTGGGGAATAGGGAGGTGATGCAGGAAGAGAATGAAAAGCGATAAAGGTTTCTTATCAAAGTAGCTGCCCCTGTGTATGACTCTGGGAGGGAACTCTGGGAAATGGTCCAAAGCCTCAAAGTGATTCCACCTGAGGGTCAACAGAGCCAGAGTTTATGTCAGCTCCTGAGAGTCCTCGGTAGAGGATGGCTCCTAAGTGGTGATCACCCTAGGGCACTTCTCACCTGTGTTGCATGAGAACAGAGTGGCTTTCCCCAGGTCCAGAGAAAGCCCTCCTGCACAGCGATGCAGACACTGGCAGCAGGAAGTCACCAAAGTACGATGTAATGGTTGAGGTCCCAATTACACAGGCTGGGCCCAGACCACTTCTGCTGAGGCTGTTACAGAGCTGGGCAGAGGCCTCACAGGGAACCAGTTTCACCCACAATAACCACCGCTTGCTCTTTACAAATACATTTGCCTTAATAATTCAGAATGACGAAAAGGACCCTCCGGGAAGCCACCAAAGGATAATTCAGGCTACATCATGTGGGGATCGAGGGAGGGGTGCTACCAAAATTGAAGAGGAATTGAAGAGCCCTTCAACCAACTACGTGAAGTTATTAACCAACGGGGGGGGGGGGGACGTCCTTCTCTAGGCTAATTTTATTAAAGTGTGGTAATTCCATAGGGCAAAACATGAACACTGCGCCCTACCACATTACTAGATACACACATGTATGTATGTTTGTATATATGAATATGTGTATATTTTATAATGAATGTAGCTTTTTTTTTTTTTTGAGACTGAGTTTCACTATTGTTGCCCAGGCTGGAGTGCAATGGCACAATCTCAGCTCACCCCAATTTCCGGGTTCAAGCGATTCTCCTGCCTCAACCTTCCAAGTAGCTGGGATTACAGGCATGTGCCACAATGCCTGGCTGATTTTTTGTATTTTTAGTAGAGACAGGGTTTCATCATGTTGGTCAGGCTGACCTTGAACTCCTGACCTCAGGTGAGCCATCCACCTCAGCCTCCCAAAATGCTGGGATTACAGGCATGAGTCACTGCGCCCGGCCACAAATGTAGCTTTTTAAATAAGTTGACTGCCTTATGCTGTAGAGTTTTTCAAATTGGTTCCAAAATTCTGGTTCTCCACAAAAATATATTTTCCATGGAGAAAATAAATAATTCCACCAAAACAAGCATTTTTCTGACATCCCATGATGATTTAACCCACCTGGGCATCTTTTGCTGTGTCACCTTAATTAACTTCTCCCCCCCACCACCATTTTACATTTGAGGGGAAAAGGAGCAATCCAGTAGTCCTAGGGAGGCTCAATGCCCAAAGCTCTTATTATTTTCCGGGAATAGGTACACCAGGACTCTCCCTTCCCTTGAGTGGTAAGAAAACCAGCAGTATTGACCTTCTCAAGATAATGACAGCAGGAAAGTCAACTCCACTTTTTAAACAATTTCTACTTGTGTAAGCAATGTATCACCTGTCAACAATAATAGTAACAATAACTACCCCTTATGGGGTATATTCAGTACTCTACATTTGTGATCTAATATAAAATGTACTGCACACAGAGAGGCTAAGTACCTTGCACGGGGTGACACAGGCGGTACCTGATAAATGGAGCTCGGGCTGTGTAATGGGAACTGGAGACAGAGCAAGGTGACCTTCTCCAGGAAAATGGGCCAAAAACATACAAGTGATAATTCTGTTTTGCAGGATGTGGCAGCTTAGAACCATCGAACCGCCGAGCTTAGTGTCGCATGCCTGTAGTCCCAGCTACTCGGAGGCTGCGGTGGGAGGAACACTTGAGCCCAGGAGTTCTGGGCTGTAGTGCGCTATGCCGATTGGGTGTCCGCGCTAAATTTGGCATCAATATGGTGACCTCCCGGGAGCTGGGGACCACCAGGTTGCCTAAGGAGGGGTGAACCGGCCCAGGTGGGAAACTGAGCAGGTCAAAACTCCCTTGCTGATCAGTAGTGGGATGGCGCCTGTGAATAGCCACTGCACTCCAGCCTGTGCGACATAGGGAGACACCGTTTCTAAAAAAAAAAATAAATAAATAATAAAAAATAAGAACCATTGAACCAAGCAAATACACAGCAACACGGAGAGGGCTTTAGGAACAATTTCACTGAGCAAAAACGTAAGAATTAAAACAATATCTATAGTGCAAAGTCTATGTATATTTAAACACACACATATTGAAGACACTTTGTGTTTTATATACATATATATACATAAATACACATTATATATATGTATTACATCTACACATACCTGTATTACAGGCATACATATGTATCATTCAAGGACATAAATCAAGCACATTTAAAGTGGTTGCCTATGGGGAAGAGGAAACTGAAATTTAAGGAAAAATATAGCATAAAATAAGACAAGGCTTTGCCCAGACCCTGAAGAGCAGGGCGCCATGAGCTGATGAGTACATGTCACTCAATTCTCGGCCATCTATCTGAGTTTTTTAAATAAATGTTTGTAAAGCCAAAATTGATTCATTCCTACAGTGGCATTCTGAAAGGGCTATTTTTCCTTTGACCTAGATTGCCCAAACCTTCCTGAGTTTCTGTCCCTCCCACAGTCTTGTTTTCCCCATTTCCACCAAATTCTGGGAGCTCTCTCATATCTTTCCGATAAATACCTTTTTCCACCTAAGTGAGCAGAATCAGCTTCTGTTGCTTGCCGCCGAAGAACCCAATAAGGCTTCAATGAATGGGGCCCTAGGGAACCAGCAAGAGTTTTCTCAGGGAAAAGACTTCCAGGTAGAGAGATCAAGTGGCCATTTATTTCCACATCCAATGTCTAAGCTGCTCTGTCTCCAGGGCTTGTGGCTGCTGTTTGAGAAGGGCAAGGTCATGCTTGAGAGTGGAGTCCTCAGCACCTAGCACAGGGCTGGGCCTACAGCATGAGGTCAATAAATGCCTTTTGAATGAATAACTTCATGAATGAAAGAACAAGTGAGTTTACGATAGCTGCTGTTGTCAAGTTGCTTTTTAACAGAATCCTACCTCCACCCGACCAGATGTATTTATCTTAGTAACCGTGGTGTAAGAGGTAAAGGAAAGCAGGTATTCAGTGAATTATCTTAGTTGGACCAAATTACTATGGGTTAGCCCCAGAGTCAGCTTCATAGGTGGATGTCCTGTGCAAATGTGCTGTGCTTTGTCATTTTGAAACCCTTAATAACTTTTCTAACAAAGGGTCCCACATTTTTATTTTGCACTGGAACCTGCAAATTATGGAGCTGGTCCTGGTGAGCACCAGACTAAATCGAGCAGCATACACCTACAGGAAGCCCAAAGAAACTAAACTACCACTGTTGGACTACAGTACTGGCTGGAATTCACAACGATAACTTTTGGTGGCAAAGGAATTTCTGTTCCAAAAACTGCCCTTAGGATCACAGTATTTCCTTCTCACGTCTGCAGAGCAGGGAAAGACAATTCCACAAAATTCTCTTCTAAAAGCAGATAACAAACCATGTAGAAATCAAATATATGGAAATTCTGGGCACGACAGAATATATGAAGATAATTATAAGTGTTCTCACCATGCAATATAGCTTGGAACAGTTCCTGGGTTTCTACAGACATTTATTTCATTCTCTGAAAGAGGGGTAATGTTTTGGAAAGAACATGAATTTGGGACTTAAACAGAGCTCATCTTGAATATTCCTTTTTCATTTAGTTGTATAAACTTGGGAGAGCTATTTAATTTCTTGGAACCTTAAATTTTCATCTTTAAAGTAAGAATAATCATAAGATTGTTAGGAGAAATAAATTGAGATTAGAAGAAAAGGGAAGGAAGGAAGGAAGGAAAGAAGGAAGGAAGGAGAGAAGGAAGGAAAGGGGAGATAGGGAGGGGAGAAAGGGAGGGAAGGGAAGAAAAAGGAGAGAATGGGGTAGGAGGGAGGGGGAAGAGAGGGAAGAAGGAAAGGGAAGGGAAGAGGAAAAGGAGATGTAAGCACCTGCCATAGTCTCTGAAATGCCCTCAGTGCTCAGTACATGGGAGCCTTTTTACTCTCATTTCAAAAAATCACTCTTTGGGGTGCTCTACACTTAGCACCATTTTTCTCTAGTCCCCACAAGCCTTAAATCCATTCCCCGACAACCTCTAACACCACGAGCGCACAGGACGTTCTGAGACTAAATCTCCCTCTTGGTTCATATTCAAGCCCCACAGCATTTAGCAGTTCTTCGGCATCTCTCATTACTCTTCCTGAATTTCCTTTTCTTGATGTTCCCAATCTATACGCATCTCATATCTCTCCGCCTCGGTCATCCCATTCCTACCAGCCCACAGCCCTCCACACGCCCCTTCCTAATGGTTCTCCAGAGCTCCTGCGTGGCAAGAAGAGTCGTTCTCATCGCCTGGGGAGAAATTCCAGCGTAGAAAAGCCCAGGTCCACTTTGATAAATGCAGCCTCGGTCTGGCAGTCACTTGAGTAGGTAGGAGGTAAAAAATGCTGTTCTCAACAGAATCCACACAAATTGGTTTTGAATTCCTAGTTGGTGCTGACCTGGGTCTTACCACCTTGTTATAACCTTTGCTACAGAGAGGAGTCACACCATTCACCACCTCCCGAGGAGCTCAGAGGACAATCAGCAAATTGTCATCAGTGAATGGTGCTTTTGTTATTATTTACTAGCCATGCCAGGAAAAACTAGTTATTCTATCACAGACTGCCTCTTACAAGCAATTTAAAAAAAGGAGAGAGTCCAGGGAAAGACAGATAAGGAAAAATTTCTAAACCAGAATAAAATAAAATAAAATGATTAAATTTGTACCCAGTTTGAGATTTCATTTATCCTCCAGCAAAATGAAATTCAACCCATTCCCAAAGATATGAGAATCCACAAAATAATGTGGTCTATGAGAAAGAGACAGCCATGATTTTCCAGTTAATAAAATTTCAAAGCCTGCTTTTGGGAAGTGTGAATCTGACTCTGGAATAGTATCCTGGAATCCCCAGATGTTGGTAACAGGCAAGCCCAGGAAACCTGCATCTGAATGGGGATATGGCTTAGTCTGGAAATAGACGCTGTTATTATGAGTAAGGGGTACAGTTTATCTTTATAAAGATAGTTCACATACCACTCAGCTTCTTTATTTCCCCAGCCACATTCCAGCAGCCATTTGCCATGTTTGCTAAGTATGCCTTTAGCCAGAAAAGTTAGGCTGGGTCTAAAAGGAATCAAACACCATAATCTGTTTGTTTGTTTGTTTGTTTGTTTGACATTCTAATCTCCCTTTTCCGTCCCTGGTGGTTTTACTTTGTGGGCACCAGTGAGTGTGGGAGAAACCTGAATGGGTGTACCAAGGCAGTCAGGTGGTATCTTGTACCACGGACGTGCAGTATTGAGGTTGGAAAATGGAGTATGGGGCTCGGGAAAGGCACATGTGCCAGTAATTCATAATATTTGCTTTGCACTTTACAAATGACAACATGCACAAGTGATTTCAGTCTAATGGATTCTTTATTCGACGGTTTTCATCCCTTTTTGACCTTTAGACATAATGATACAGTGTGTCACACACAGAGACACTCAAACTTAAGGCATCAAAATAAAGTCTCACACGATGATGACACGTACCCTTACTGTATGTGAAACACCGTGTTACTTTCTATTTTATTCCATTTGATTTGTTAAAAATGATGGCCATACCCCTCTAATATTGCTTTCGCAACCCACTAATAGGATGCAACTCTCAACTTTCCTTTTTCTTTTTCTTTTTTTTCGTTTTAGAGTTGAAGTCTTGCTCCACTACCCAGGTTGGAGTTCAGTGGTGCCATCTCAACTCACTGCAACCTTGCCTCCCTAGTTCAAGTGATTCTCCTACCTCAGGCTCCCTAGTAGCTGGGATTAAAGGCGCTCGCCACCATGCCTGGCTAATTTTTGTATTTTTAGTAGAGACGGGGTTTCACCATGTTGGGCAGGCTGGTCTTGAACTCCTGACCTCAGGCAATCTGTCTGCCTCAGCCTCCCAAAGTGCTGGACTTAAAGGTGTGAGCCACCACACCTGGCTGCAACTGTCAGCTTTCAATTACCCTTTTAGTCAGCGGGCTGAACATTGTGGGTTCTTGCCCTCGCCTCCACCTGCTTTTTCTAAGCTCTTTCTTGAATTCTCAAGGCTAGAAGCAACCACCTTGCCAGCAAGGATCCACTGTCATTTCTGCCAGTTCAATGCCCTTGTGTGAGATCTGGAAGGCAGAAGCCAAATGAAGTCATCCTTCCTCCAGCAGGAGCAGTACCCAATGACAGACCACCACAGGTAAACATGAGCCTTTGCTGGGGCCAGCAGACCCGACTGTGCCCTGCCAGCCTCTTGCCCCAGGAAGCTGTTTCTTGACCTCTGGGTGGAAGGAGCGACTTCCTGACGCTCACAGCTTCGCAGCTACACAGCTACACAGGCAAACGGGAAAGCAGTGCTACTGCTCTCGCCTTCTGTTCTCCCAATCTCTCCTGTGGTTTTTAAGTACCTAATTCCCAGTAATAAGTGCCCATTTGCTTTAAATATTGGTTCCTGTTTTTCTGACTGAGGCCCGGTTGAAACAGATAGATGCTAGAAATCTCTATTTTATTGTTGCAGAAACCAAGATTCAAAGTGGTCAAAAGTAGTGGGAAATCTGCAACTCAATCCAAGCTTCCTGATTACAAATTTACTTTTTTTAAACTATATCACAGCTGTATGTACATTAAATAGTTGGGGTTTTTGTTTATATAAAGTTATACTTATATCTGAATTATGATAAAACTCCTCAAAGTATTCTCAATTCTTTTTTCCTCCTCTTTGTCCAATTAAGTCTTATTCTTTTGTGCCTCCATGAACCTACTGGCTGGAGTGCAGTGGTGTGATCTTGGCTCACTGCAACCTCCACCTCGTGGGTTCATGCAATTCTCCAACCTCAGCTTCCTGAGTAGCTGGGATTACAGGCACGCACCACCACACCCAGCTAATTTTGATATTTGTAGTGGAGATGGGGTTTCACCATATTGGCCAGGCTGACCTTGAACTCCTCACTTCAAGGGATCAAGCTGCCTCGGCCTCCCAAAGTGCTGGGATTATAGGCATGAGCCACCGCACCCAATGCAAATTCTTTAAGTAAGAAGAAGACATTCTCTGCAAGACAGTTTGGGAAAAGGAGAATTTTTTTCAAGGGATTAAATGTAAGAGTCTGCTTCCTAGAATGAAACAGCACCCAGTCAATGAGCAAATGGAAGTCCACATAACTCTGCCAACAAAGAGGGAGAATGATCCTTATCGGAGTCCAACAATTTATACTAACTGGTTTCTTCATTTTCCTTCACTTGATTTCCTCCTTTTTTTTTTCTAATGATAGTTTTACAAGGCAGTCTCAAGTCCTTTGTGCAATGAGACAGAGTTTAACAAAGTGTTTCCATAGACACCCACCCTGCTCGTATGCTGAGTTCTAGAAAATGTTCCCTGCCACCTGAGGTTGAGATCTGACCTGACATCTAACTCTGTGGTCAATACCAGGCCAACAGCATGAGCCTTGCCCAGGATTTTGTCAGAAATGCACACTCTCAGGTCCCGCGCCAGACCTGTGTGGCAAACTCTGGGAAATCTAGCACATGCCCAAGTCGGAGAACCATCGCTGTAGACATCTGACTCGAACCAGAAACACTTCCCCACCTACTTTCCCATTCACCACCTCCGTACCCACCATCCTAAGGCTGAATAAAAAGCAAGGGAAACATCAGAATTAAACAGAAGTGTATTCAATTCCACCTTTGAGCATTCAGGGTGACCTTGTGCAAGACTGAGTTTGGCGTCTGAGGCTGGGCCTCTCAACCTGTAAAACAGAAACCATCATGCTACTTGGTGGGCTGCTGTGGGAATTAGTCATAGTTCTCAATCAATGGCAGCAGCGATCCCTTCTCTGTTGTAACACCCTTGCCTCTCTGCAGTAATATGAAGGCACACATTGATGTTCAATTACACAGCTTGCGTCTTTCCCTCCTTGGGAATTGGAATCCGTTTCAGCTGACAGATGAGTCAAGAAAAAAATGGGAATAAACATGAAGATGCAGAAGGAGCGTAGTGAAGAAAGCAGGCAAAAGAGAAAAAGAAGGAATGAGAAGAAAGCAAAAAATAGGTGAGCAAAAGAAAAGAACAGGAAAAGTTTAGGAAGAGTGAAGAAGGAAAACAGTGATCAGGAAGCAGGTGGGGAAAAAGAGAAAAGAAAAAGTGGGGAAAGAGAAAAAAAGATGAGAAGAGAGAAAGCATCAGTGGAAGAGAGAGAAATAAATGAGTCCAAGTTCTGCTGGGCACCGAGCTTTCTGACTCTCCTAGCATGAGACTACCTAATTGCCCTGTTCCCTCCAAGCTGCTTCTCAGACTAGAAAGTGGTCTTGTGTCTGGAAAAAGCCATAAGCATCTTATGTGCATATGTTCCACCTAATCCCTGGCAGTGCAGCCTGGGTGCCTGCAGATGGGGTCTTGGGTTTGGGCCAGCTGCCAAGTGGCGTGGGCAGCTCAGACAACTCTAGTCCCGGTACCCACAAGCCAGAAGCATGAGTGGCACCCCTTATATCCCCAGCCCCTGGCCAGGAGCAGGAAGGGCTTCCTCCTTTCCCAATTTAAGAGCTGGAAACTAAAGAAAGTCCTGATTCTATTTCCAGTCTCCTCACATTGCTTCCTCCCTAAGCTTTTCCTCCCAAAGCCAGCTTGGTCTGGATGGGCAAACATCCAGTTCTTTCAAATGAAAAGGTGAGAGTGAGAGGAAGAGAGGGGGAGAGAACAGAGGGACAGGGAGGAAAGGAGGGAAGAATGGAAAAGAGGAGGAAGGGAGAAGAGGAGAGGAGGGGAGGTGAAGGGAGGAGACGGGAAGCAGAAGGGGAAACTGTCCTTGCTCACTCTCTCTTTCACTTAAAACTCCACCTGGAAACACAGCATTTGCCCAGAAGAGCATCACTCCACACTCACATTTTTTTCCACAAGTTTTATTTTTCCTTTCTTTTCTTTTCTTTCTTTTTTTAAAAACAGGAATGAATTCAATCCAAGAGCCTCATGAGAGGAGATCACTCAGCCTGCTAGAAGGAGAGTCCTGTCTGGAAATCACAGGAATTAGGAGAAACCACAACTTTGCTCAACTCTCAGTGTAACAGAAAACATGTTAGCACTTGGGAAAAGGCAGGTGAGTGAGAAAGAAAAGAAAAGCCCTTGCCACGAACTCCTTCCTTCCTGGTTGTCTGTCCAGGTCTGCCTGCCACCCACTTGCCAATCTAGAGACCTCTCTCTCCACACCATCCTCTCCAGATCCTGGCCCACATCCCGACCACTCTGCAAGATGATAGGTGTGATCAACCTGCCACTCACTTGAACTTAGAGAGAAAATGTGTTAAGGAAACAGGAAACAGAGGGGAACTAACGTGAATATCAAATGTGTGGTATATACCCAGTAGGTTAGCAGGGCAAGCCTTCAGTGAAAGGTGAGAAAGCAGCATTCAGCCACACAGCTGCACTTGGGAGTTGAGAGTTAGGCTTCATTCGCTCACGTTTCATTGTGGTGGTGATAAAGGCTGCCAAGAAGCACCTTGAGCTTTAAAAACTGCCCAAGCATGATGGGATGGAATAGGATGGGGTGGCAGGGAATCTTAAGATGGAGTGGGCAGATGCTGCACAGAGCAAGCAGTCTTGCACTTGAGAACACCTTGTGTGTAATTCACCAGGGTTAAGCAGAGCCCCTCTCAGAATTTCACCTCCGTCCCTCCCTCATGGTCAAGGTTTTAGGACAACCCTTCCAATGAGAATGGAAATGGACACACCTTTTGCTTTTCCCCAGACACAGAATTCAACCATTAGTGCAATGTGTGGGAGAAACAGACTTTCCAGGCTTTCTGTTTAAATCTCTCCAAGGAAAGGGATTTGCAACACCAGGCTGGGATGAGTCCTTCAAAATACTCAAGAAGTTTCAGCTCCATTCTAAAGGCAAACAAGCACAATCCCTTCAAAAACTGCCTTTGGGAAGGGCTGAAGAGTAGTCAGGAGGTTCTACCCTGACTTCATCTGGCCATCTGTGTAACGAATAATTAGTATCTCTGTACTCAGGGCCAGCTCTGCCACACACCCCTCCCTCCACCTCTCCGTCCAGTTAATCCTCACTATGGTGCCCTTCAGAGCACTCCCAGGCCGGCTTCTGACACCTACGCCACCTTTGGGGAGGAGTAATTTTTTAAAAAAGAAAAAAAAATCCCACTCTTTTTTTCTCCTTCCTTAGGGTAGAAAGTCCAGAATTATTAGATAATGATAACAGAAAACTGTAAAAGTAAATTACCAACAGTTTCCCCCTGGAAGACCGAAAACAAAATTACCTTAAGCCAATGGAATTATTTAGCATACAAAGGCAAGCTCTGAAATAGCAAGCATGGACTGGAGCTTTGCACATTTCTAGGTAACTTTCTGTACCCGAATATGGAGCAGCCCACTTCTTACTAGAAAATATCCACTTTGAGATGGAAGCTTGGGTGAGCCTTGTCAGGAAATTCTCTGTCTCTTGGAAGCAAAGAAGTCCATTACAGAAGATTGGAGGACTTTTTTCTTTAATTTACTTCAGAGGCAGGATCGTGGTGTGTTGCCCAGGCTGATTGCAAACTCCTAGGCTCAAGCGACCTTCCTGCCTCGGCCTCCCAAAGTGCTGGGATTACATGCAGGAGCCATCATGCCCAGCCAAGGCTGAAAGTCTAAAGAGATGTCCCCAGAAATTATTTTTGAGGTCATTCATGTTCCAGGAACTCCATCTTTGTGTGCAGCCTCCAGAAGCCACAGAATGACCTGTCTGCCTGACTCTGGAAGGGCCCCAGGCTCCAGTGTCCTGGTACTAATAATGTCTTTCTGGTGTGCATGCACACATAAGCTCATAACTACATTTCTCTTGAACAAAACCAGGGATAACAAATCATGATTGTAATTTTACAAGTGTCTTTAAAAAATATATACTTCGTGTTTCATAACAGTCTTAGAGCTACAGAAAATTTCGCAGAGAAATTCATACAGTTCCCATGTACCCTGACACCCATATTTTTTTGGGGGCAGGGGTGTGGCACAGACTCTCACTCTGTCGCCCAGGCTGGAGTGCAGTGGCACAATCTCGGCTCATCACAACCTCCGCCTCCTGGGTTCAAGAGATTCTCCTGCCTCAGCCTCCCGAGTAGCTGGGACTGCAGGCACGCCACCACCATGCCCGGCTAATTTTTATATTTTTAATAGAGACAGGGTTTCACTATGTTGGCTAGGCTGGTCTCGAACTCCTGACCTTTTAATCCACCCGCCTCAGCCTCCCAAAGTGCTGGGATTACAGGCGTGAACCACTGCACCCAGCCCCTGATACCCATTTTCTTCTATTATTAACATCTCACATTAAGATGGTACACTTGCCAGCAATTAATGAAACAGTATTGATATGTTATTATCAACTGAGGTCCATGCTTTGTTCAGATTTCCTAAACTTGTACCGTAGCTTTCTGTTACATATTTTTTCCTTTCTGCGCACTGCATTACATTAAGAATTCTTATCTCCTTCAGCTCCCCTTGCCTGTGATAGTTTTTCAGACTCTCCCAGAGCATTGTGTTTGATGACTTTGGCAGTTTTGAGGAATACTGCTCAGGAATCTTGTAGAGCATTCCTTGACTGGGTTTGTCTGATGATTTTCTTATGATTGGAGTAGGTTATGGGCTTTTGGGAGAAAGAGCATAGAAGTGAAGCACTATTCTGCGCATATCATGCCAAGCTTCCACACCATCGACGTGACCTCTGACTATTGATGCTGACCTTGATCGCCTCGCTGAGGCACTGCTGGTCAGATTGCTCCACTGTGAAGTTACTGTTTTCCCCTTTCTCCATAGGGAAGTCACTATGCACAGTGGACACTTAAGGAATGGAGAGCTATGCCCCACCTGCTTGAGGGCGAAGTTATCTACATAAATTCATATCTGGAATTCTTGTATATGAGAGATCTGTTGACCAGTCCCATTTATTTAATTACATTAGTATAGACTTGTGGATATTGTTTTGCATTACAATTCAATGCTACTCTATTTTATGGCTCTAATTGTTCTGGCTTTGGCCATCAGGAACTCTTTCCAGTGGCTCCTGTGTCCCTTTGACATAGTCCCGTCAATCTGGGGGAGGGGAGAGAACACTTCCTTACTTTCTGGCACTACAGTTTGCCTCAGGCTCATTTTGTATATTTTTCACCCAGTCCTATTTCTCCAAGGAACTCTGGGTCGTTTTAGGTGAGAATGGTGCTAGAAACCAAGCTCTGGGTGCTAGGTGTACTCCTTGCTACGAGGGTGTCTTTTTATTGTTTCGTTGGTTGGTTGGTTTCTTTAGGCCCTGTCAGCTGACACAAAAAAGAAATATTTGTTCGTATACTAACCTATATATATGCATACACACACATGTGCATGCAAATACATATATATACAAACACACATACATACACAGTTTTACATATGTAAAATATTTCTATACATAACCATCTCTATATTAAGCTAAACATGAGTTTTTACTGATGGTTCCAACTATAATCTGTTACTACATGGATCATTCTAGTTTCTTTCTCTTGATTATCTGTAAATTCCCATTCCAACAGTGTGAAATCTGGCTCCTACCATCCACTATCCATTTATTTCATGTTCATTCCAGTATAGGTAGAGCAACAATCCGAATTGTTAACTTGTAACACTGTGGGAAAGAATGTTAACAGTTAGAGTCCAGTGCTTACGTGCAGTTCCTTTTGCCTTTAGTCTTCCATATGCTACTCATTTCCAACAGCACTTAAGTCAGCACCTTTTCTCCCACCCTCTTCAGTGAGGTTGTTCCATACATTTTAACACAGTAAGGCTCTCTTATTATATCTGCATTCCTTCCTGAGATCCCACAACCTTCTAAATGACCTTTTCTCTTTTTACATTGTATATATTAAGTAAAGTTTTATGGGTTTTGACAAATGCATAATGTCATGTATCTGCCATTATAGTACCATCCAGAATAATGTCACCACCCCAAAAATCTCCTGTGCTTCATGTGCTCATTCCTCCCCACTAACTCCTGGCAACCCCTGATCTCTATGGCTTTGTCTTCTCTGGTTTGTCATGTAGTTGGAATCATTCAATCAGATATAAGGAAGTGATGCCCGCTCTCAGCTCTTGATCCTACCTACATGCTTGCCATGGTGCCTGACATTTCCCTCTTAGAGATTAATTTTATTTGGGATTATTTTTCTGTATTAGAATTTTGATTTTTGTTTTTAAATGTTTAATAAAATGGTTTTGGCTGGACATAGTGGCTCATGCCTATAATCCCAGTACTTTGGGAAGTTGAGGTAGGTGGATCACTTGAGGTCAGGAATTTGAGACCAGCCTGGCCAACACGGTAAAACCCTATCTCTACTAAAAAATACAGAAAATCTGTAGTAGTTCATGCCTGTTATCCCAGCTACTCAGGAGGCTAAGGCAGGAGACCCAGGAGGTAGAGGTTGCAGTGAGCTGAGATTGTGCCACTGCACTCCAGCCTGAGCAACACAGCAAGACTCCATCTCAAAAAAAAAAAAAAAAAAAAAAGGCTGGGCACTGTGGCTCATGTCTGTAATCCCAGCTCATTGAGAGGCCAAAGCAGGTAGATTACCCGAGGTTAGGAGTTTGAGACCAGCCTGGCTGACACAATGAAACCCCGTCACTACTAAAAAAAATACAAAAGTTAGCTGGGCATGGTGGTGACATCTGTAATCCCAGATACTGGGAAGGCTGAGGCAGGAGAATAGCTTGAACCCGGGAGACAGAGGTTGTAGTGAGTCAAGATCACACCACTGCACTCCAGTCTGGCAAAAAGAGCAAAATGCCATCTCAAAAAACAAAAAAGAATAGTTTTAAATGATTTTTTAAATTTCTGAATGTTTATTGTAATGAGTCAAATAATTTAGAAAAACCCAAAGAGTATTAAAGAAGAATCTTAAATTTCTTCCCCACTCTCCTGAACTGCACTTATACCTGGGCATCTGGGGCCCCTGCCCTGAACCCTCTGCATTAGAAACTCAAGCCTTACCCATGGAACAGGAGTCTTCAGGGCTAGGAAGGCATGCCCATCTGGAATCAGCGACTCTCCTTCTAGACCACATTCCAGGTGCCCAGGATGCTAGAAGTCTCTATCCACCTGGCCTCAAGCCCTCTTCCAAGACCAAAGTGGGCCTCCTCCTGAGCCTGTCCTCCCCATGGCAGGCTGGCCCAGGATGAGTGCACCCCTAGACCCCAGGAGCATTTGTGTGGAGTGGATGAACTGGGGTAAGCAGAGCAGGGTGCCAACAATTGTGTGCATAAGGTTTCCTCAGGTGCACAAGGGACTAGAGTAAAAAGCAGGGGACACAGGGCCCAAGTTTCCATTTGACTTCTTGCCTTGGGTCCACCACCTGCCTCACAATGTTAAGAGCAGGCCAGCCTTCCCCACTGTAATCCCATCCTCCCGAGGTGACAATGCTAATGGTTTTGGTATGTAAACTTCACACCCTTCTGTATGGGTTCATAAACACATAGAAATATAAACACATACGGAAGGAGTGTTCTCTCTTTCTCTATCACTTGTTCATGAAAATGGTATTCTAGTACACAATATAACATATATCATGGTCCTCTCCACTGTATATAGATCCAGGGCATTTTTTTTTTAAGCTTCATAATATGCCACAGAATTAATATGTTTCCTCATGATGAGATATTCAGTATTTCCCCCCACCCACCCTACCCCCCACTTTAAACAATGCTGAAATAATCTTTATACCTACAGTCTTAGGTCCTGGTGCTTTTATTTTGTCAGCTATAACTTGGATTCCTAGAAAGAGGATTAGTGGTTCAGTCAAAAAATGTAAACATTTAGGCCAGGCGCGGTGGCTCAAACCCGTAATCCCAACACTTTGGGAGGCCGAGGCGGGTGGATCACGAGGTCAAGAGATCGAGACCATCATGGTCAACAAACCCCGTCTCTACTAAAAATACAAAAAATTAGCTGGGCATGGTGGCGCGTGCCTGTAATCCCAGCTACTCAGGAGGCTGAGGCAGGAGAATTGCCTGAACCCAGGAGGCGAGGTTGCGGTGAGCCGATATTGCACCATTGCACTCCTGCCTGGGTAACAAGAGCGAAACTCCGTCTCAAAAAAAAAAAAAAAGAAAAAAAAAAATATATATATATATGTATATAAACATTTATTTTATAGATGCTTCCAAAGTACTTTGGTAAATACAGAAATCTATACCCCCACTGGCAATGGATAACATGCTCATTTCACCAAACCTCCCCATTCTGGATGCTCTGAATTGTTTTAAATTTTGGACATTGGATAGGTAGAAACTGACATCTGGCTAATTTCCCTTCTGTTTCCCTGACTGGGATGAGGCTCCACATCTTTTCATAGATTCTGGCCATTTGTATTTTCTCTTCCATAAATTGCCTATCATTAGCCTTTGCCCATTTTTCTTCTGAGATATTAGCTGTCTCAAATCAAATTGTAAGGATTTGCTAATTAATAATCTTCTATACTTATAAGATTATCAACTTTTTCCTGGTATTTATCAAATTTAAGGTATATTTTCTCATGTAGATAGTTCTTATTTTGGGGGGTAGTCAAACCTATCAATATTTTTTCTTTTTAAATGTTTCTAGCTTTTTAAAAAAGGAATCTCTACCTATCCTCCTAGATTTTATTCTACTTTTTTTATTGTCATGTGCTTCTGTCCTCACTTCATAATAGAGCCCATTCAGAAAACAAAGGAATCCACAAAAAGGAGAGTGTCCCTGAATTCTGTATTCTTAGGTCTTTTCTTCTCCTCTGCCCACCATTAAGACTAAAATTGCTTTTTGTTGTTGTTGAGACAGGGTCTTGCTCTGTCGCCCACACTGGAGTGCAATGGTGAGATCTCAGCTCACTAAAAACTCAGCCTCCCAGGTTCGGGTGATTCTCATGCCTCAGCCTCCTGAATAACTAGGATTACATGCATGCGCCACCATGCCTGGCTAATTTTTGTATTTTTAGTAGAGATGGGGTTTTGTCATGTTGGCCAGGCTGGTCTCAAACTCCTGACTTCATGTGATCTGCCCTCCTTGGCTTACCAAAATGCTAGAATTACAGGCATGAGCCATGGCACCCACCCATTAGACTAAAATTTCTTGTCTCCCAACAATCTTTTCTTAAAATGTAAGCAATCCTGCAAAAGTAACATCAACATCATTGCTCAAATCCTCATAAACAAATTAGGCTGGAATTTATGAGAGGTTTCTAAGGACAGACATGTTGGGAGAAATAAAAGGCAAAAAACAGAAAGAAGGAAGAAGCAAGCAGAGGTGTGAGGGTTCTCTGCACTCACACATTCATCCACAGAGCAGGAATAAATTGAGTGTCTCCTCTGCATAAGTGGGGCCTATGGAGAAAGAAGACTCAAGGGACAGCATGGTCACTGTTATCCAGGGGTTTATCATTAGAGGGGAAGTGAAGCACTACAGTCCAAGGGAGTGTATACAAGGTATGGATCAGGACAGAGAAGAAAGATCACTTCTGGCTGGGCTATCAAGGAAAACTTCAAAGAAGTGAGTATGTGGCTAGGTGGAAGGATCGCTTGAGCCCAAAAGTTCGAGCCACTGTGTGCTATGATCATGCCACTACACTCCACCCTGGGCACATAGTGAGATTTGACTTAAGAAAAAAAAAAGAGTGAATTTTGTATTATTTATTTATTTATTTATTTTTGAGACAGGATCTGGCTGTCTTGCCCAGGCAGGAGTGCCATGGCCCAATCTTGGCTCACCACAACCTTTACCTCCCGAGTTCAAGCAATTCTCCTGCCTCAGCCTCCCCGGTAGCTGGGACTACAGGTGCACCACCAGCCACCACATTTCTGTATTTTTAGTAGAGACAGGGTTTCCCCGTGTCAGCCAGGCTAGGGAGTGAATTTTAAATGAGGTTTCAAGAATAGCTACAATTTCAACAGGTAGAAGAGGAGGACTTTCAGAATAGCATGAGCAAGGACACAAAAGTGGGAGGAGGCAGAACACTTTGAGGTAAGCAGCTTATCCAGACAAAAAAAGGTGCATGTAGAGGAGCCATGAGAGATCTGCCTGAAAGGTCCGTGAGTCCAGACCTCAGGACGCAGAAGAATGTGGACAACGTGGCCTACTTGGTCCCTGTGCTGGAGCTGGCCCTGAAAACAGCAGGGGTACAGCCCAGGTACCCCACTTCCATCTGATCTTCAGAATCACCTGAAGCACCTTAAAAATACAGATTCATTACACTCAAACCTATTAAATCTAAATGCCTCATGAATTTTGATAATATGCCAGCTGGGAACTCTACTTCTGGCTAAATCTGCCCCATAAGGAAGTGTGATGATATTTGTAGGATTCCTTGGAAATTATGTGTTCCTCCACTTCCTCTATGAAAACACAGCGGGTTGGTAGAAAAGACCAGCTGCTTTGGCTGCCCAGATTCCTTATCTTGGCTTTTTTCCCGGGTAACTGTGCCTGGATTCTCTGTAGGTGTTTGCTTTGTGAGTTAACTGGCTCTGGTGTAAAGCCTGGGTCTAAGCCAATCAGCATCTCATAAGCCCCCTGCTGTGATTGGTTCAGGGATGGGCTCTTGGTCCAATCAGAGACCATGAAATGCAATGAGGCTTTGCCTGGAAATGCTGAGCCAAAAATCTTCACTTTCTATGAAGTTTTTGAAGCCAGGAACCCCTCTTCTTGAGATTTATTGGCAACCATCTTGCAAAGGGAGAGCCCATTGTGTAGGAGGCAGTTCTAAAGAAAAAAACAGGGCCGGGTTGTATCATTTGAGACTTGAGTAAAGTCATACCAGAAGCCACACTCAGTCTGCCCTGGAATGCTTGATTACAATGGACAGTAAATTCCCTTTTCTTTTCCTTTTTTTTTTCCCCCATATTGTTTTGATTTTTTTTTTTTTTTAAGAGATGGGATCTTGCTCTGTTTCCCAGGCAACTCTCAAACTCGTGGCCTCAACCCCCACACCCCTCCCCAAACCCACCCCCCTCTCTGCCTCCCAAAGTGCTGGGATTACAGGCATGAGCTACTGTACCTGAGTAAATTCCCTTTTTTGATTAAGCCAGTTTAGATTAGGTTTCTTGTCAACCTGCAACTGAAAAAATTATCACTAATACAAGGCACATACAAACTCCTTGCAGCACAAGAAAGGTAAGCTCCTTGCAGCACAAGAAAAGCAGGAATCCTCAGTCCTCTTTTTAAGGGAGAGGTCCTCATGAGAGAGACATGGGCCACTGGCACTTGAATTTATCTGGAATATTCATAAGCTTCTAGAAGTGCAAAGAAGGTTTATTTTCTTGGCCAAAGAAAGACTCTCCTGATGATGTAACAATTTCACCTCCTTGCTTCCTTGGCTGTATTGCAGATTTGACAAAGCATTAAAATGGCACATTGTGAAAAACCTTTATATTATGTAAGCATAAAGTGTTCTGCAAAAATCAGGAAGAACTGTGCTGGTTTGGTGATTGCCGAGTCATAAAAGTAAAACATAAAAAGTGCGGTTTGTCATAA